CGCGCGCACGCTCTGGGCCTCTGGCATCGCAGCCCCGCCGGGGTATGAGGCCAACGGCGACCGGGGCGGGACCGGTGGCCCAGTCCTTCCGCATCTGTTCCTTCCTGTCTTTTCCGCCTTGGGCGGTCGGATCCCGGGCCGGGGCCTAGCGCCCATCTACCTTGCCGAGGCCATTGTGGCCTTGTACATCATAGGCCTCTGACCCTTCCACCCAGGTGTCCAGGGTCTGCTACTCCCGCACCTGCTGGGCCCTCACCGGAAACCCAGCCTACACTGGGTCACCTGGCTCCTCGGTTCCCAGGCAGCTGGGCACGCCTCCCAGTCAGAGACAGACCTGGCCAGGGTTGCGGGTCTCTAACAGGTCTGCGGAGCACCAACCTACATCCTGCTCTTGCTTCCGGAGCGCCTGACCTGGGCTGCCACAGGCAGGCCTCCAAGGGCAGAGCCTGAGCTTCTGCTGATGCAGACTTCTGGGACTCTGGGGCTGGGGATCAGGTTGCTACAGTAGCCACCGATAAGGCTCTGGGCAGGTGTGGACCGCCTCTGCCCATTGGGTATGGCTGCTTTCCTGAACAGAACCCTGGTTAGAACTTGATGGCTGAGCCCTGGGGGTTGGAGGTAGGGTGGTCAGTGTGGTGGCCCCTGCTCTGACTGGCAGGCTGATGTGGCTGTCCTTGCAGGCTACATCTCTGCCTTGGCCTCCTGTGAGAGCCACCTGGCTGCTTGGTTCAAACCACAGCTGTCCACTCCCTTCTGGACCTGACCCCAGGGCTCATTTTTTTTTTTTTTTTTGTACTGGGTATCAAACTTGAGCCCTTGTGCTTCTGAGGCAGGTGGCGGAACCACTGAGGACTCTTGTTATTGATAGCATGCACCTCTGATGCTGAAGACAGAGTTCATATCTTCATCCTTCTCTATAGGGAATGGGAAAGGGGACATTACTAGAACCCCTGCCATGGGTCCTGGTCTCCTGTGAGCCACTACCACACAAAGCTGATAAGAATAAAGATAAGAAATGAGGCTGGGTGTGGTGGCGCACGCCTGTAATCCCAGCACTCTGGAGGCTGAGGCAGGAGGATCGCTGTGAGTTCGAGACCAGCCTCGGCTACATAGTGAGTTCCAGGTCAGTCTCAACTACATAGTGAGACCCTGTCTCAAAAAACAAAACAAAACAAAACAAAAAAACAAGAAATGAAACTTAGAGAAGAAGGTGGGTTTTGGGCTTGAACAGTGCTGCTCTGGGCAGCAAAGACAAAAGCACCCTGAGCTTGCCACTAGTGGGTTCATAGGGAGTATCAGATGTCTTCCAGAGGGCAGCAATAATCTTAAATTGATAAGGATCTTATAATTGAAGGAAGCATCAGATTCTGGGAGGGCTATGCTAATCCTACTATGATGAGAATCTTATCCTGATGAAGATCTTAGATGAGGAGCTTAAATTGATTAGAATGATAAGAGCAAAGGGTAGGTGGAATGGATTAAGCTGATAAGGAATTTGTCCCTCCCCAGTTGAAACCTTTCTCTTTTTGTATTACTACTCTGTTCTCAACCAGGATGTCTTCAATTGATGTAATCTTGCCCTTGAGTGTCACAGCTTTACAGGACTACTGAGGCATCAGGCAGCCCTAGTTATAATTTAATTTTGAAATGATTTTTTCCCCAGGATTATGTAGAATGGCTCCTGATGCTCCTCTCAGTCATCCCCGTGCTGTGATGCTCTCTGACCCCCAAACCTCATACAGTCTGCTGGGCTGTATGAGAAAGCTGGGTTGTAGATACTCCTGTCTGCTCTGTTCTTTTTTGGCCTTGTCTCCTGTATCCCCACGTGGAGTTTGGCATAGCAGCAACAGGAGAGCTCTTCTTGAGCAAGAGGAGAGGACGACATCTTTGCTCAGGGGAGTGTGATACAGGACACGTGCATGTAGGCTGGACACACAAGGGACAGGTCAGAGGCCCTATGTGGAGTTTGCTTTTCTGTTCTCGCCTTCCCTCCCTGGCTTAGCTTGGGGTGAGCAGAGCACTACAAGTGGGCTGGCCCCTAGCTTCCATGTGACAGGTAGAGTGGGTAGCTAGACAGCTGGCCCTGAGGCTGTGGGAGCCCCAGCTGATCCCAGCTGTACACGTCCCCCGCCAGGTGGGCATAGGTGTGCAGGGGCTGCTCTGGGGCTTCCTCTAGCCCTGTGTGGGATGGGAAAGGAAAGACCATGGTTCTTTTTTCCTTCATTCAGGGTGGAGGGGGTGAAGGGAAGGCTTGGGAATGGGGAAAAATAAGAACCAATAAGCTGGGCGTGATGGTGCACACCTGTAATCTCAGCACTTGGGAGCCTGAGGCAGGAGGATTGCTGTGAGTTCAAGACCAACCTGGGCTACGTAGTGAGTTCCAGGTCAGTCTCAACTACATAGTGAGAAAAAAAAAAAAGAACCACTGTAAGTCATGTAAAGGTACAAGATCCCAATAATGAATGTAACTGTATTGTATACCTAAAATGTACCAATAAACTTAATAAAGATAAAAAAAAAAAAAGATGCTGTGGGGCCGGAGATTTAGCTCAGTGGTTCTGTGGCCTGCCTTGCAAGTGCAAGGACCTGAGTTCAAGCCCCGGTACCAAAAAAAAAAAGATGCTGAGCTCATAGGCCCAGTTGCATCATAGGATGCAACAGGGAGCACCCCCCCCACCCCAGGAGAGCACAGGCTGCCTCGGGGTTCCCAGTCTTGCCCTCTGAATGTCTGTCCCATGAGTGACAATCACAGACAGTGCCTAGCCATGGGGAAACTGCTGCCTGAGCAGTGATGTGGAAGGAAGGCTCAGTTTTCTGGAGGCTGGGCAGGGCTGGGTGGGGCAGCCCCACACTATGACTTCCTGAGCTCTGATCATGGACCAAATGAGGTTCTCCCCACTTCTCGTGGACGGTCCTTCCTCTCTGTCATTCCCTGGGAAGGCCACTCTTGTTGTTCTCGTGATGCAGTCCAGAAGGAGAATAGCACAGTTTGTGGGCTGCTGTGGGGCAAAAGCTGGGCTTTGGAATCAGGAGAGGAGTGTGTGGAGGTCTTCAGGTCGGTGTCCAGATGCAGAGCTGCTGCACAGGTCAGAGTGCAACGTGAGAAGAAAGTTCCGGAAGTCCCCAGGGAATTCAGCTCTCATGGTAATTTTCCTAAGAGAAGCAGAGCAGCCCTAGCGTCTACCGACTGACACCTGTCAGCTTGGTGCTTGCCTTCCGTAGGCCACTGAACACCTTGTATCTGGAAGCACTATGTGGTATTTAGTGTTCTACGGCCTCCTCCTGGACCTGTGGATGGAGGCCTTGCCACAGCACCACAGCCTGTCCCATGAACACGCCACAGGGCACATGCTGTGGTGTTGCCATGCTCCTCTCTGCAGGGTCCCTGCCAAAGAGCAGCTGGACCAGGTGATAGCCACCAGGGTGCCAGTCTTGCAGCTTGTGCTGGCCACTGGGAGAGAAGGGGGAGCTGCCACTCCCACGTGTTGTATCCAGCAGGAAAAAGGCCCCTCCCAATGTGCCCATGGATGCCCCTTACTTTTCCTTGGGCAGAACTGAAAGCTGTGATCTGCCTGATCCAGGGAATGTGAGAAAGTGGAAACCTGGCTGCTGCTAACAGCATTGACCAGTGAAAATTGGCTGTCTGGGGGCTCTCCCAGACTGACCTGCCTCCAGCTGAGAGGCAGAAGAGTATCCCCACCCCCACCCCCGGTACTGGGGCTCCAACTCAGGACCTTGCACTTGTGAGGCAGTTATGGCGCCACTGAGCTAAATCCCTGGCCCCAACAGAGGGGTATCTTTAGGCAGTTTGGGGAGGAAGTGGCAGGCAGGCTGTTGGCAAGCCCTGCCTCTCCATTGTACCTGTTGAGAGTTGCAAATGAGAATTCCTCTTCAGGAGCCCTGAGCCTGGGCCCCTGGGCTGGAATAAGGTGGCCCTGTGTTCCTTTTCCTGAATTCTGGGAGGCTCCAGCTGGACAACTGATGGCTTCAGTGAGGCCTAGACTGACGTTTTCACCAGTGCCCCTGTGCGGGGCTCCTGGTGAGTGTAGGATTCAGAGTTGCTTGGTGTCCTACAAGTGAAATCACAGCATGTCTACCCTGAATCAGCTTATTGTTTTATTTGTTTATTTACTGGTACCAGGGATCGAACTCAGGTCCTTGTACATGCGAAACAGGTGGTGGAACCACTGAGCTAAATCCCTGGCCCTGAATCAGCTTATTGTTGATGAGGGTAAGGATTGTTTGTTTTCCCATCTCTACCCCAACATTTGTCAAAATATTTTATATTTACCAATCTGATGGGTTAGAGTGGTAAATAAGGCTTCCCCTGACATCTGTTTCAGTTATCCTCTGCTATGTAAGAGCCACCCCAAGTGGCCAATGGCAGAGCACTTGCCTAGCATATGTAAGGCCCAGGGTTCAACTCCTAACTCTGTAAAAAAATAAAAAAGGCCAGGTGCGGTGGTGCATACCTATGATCCTAGCACTCGGGGGCAGAGGCAGGAGGATTGTTGTGAGTTCAAGGCTAGCCTGGGCTGCATAGTGAGTTCAGGACCAGCTTGAACTCTGCAGCTAGACCTTGTCTCAAAAAACAACAAAAATTCAGTCAACCATTTTGGTTTTGAGAGTTAGGCACTGGGATAATGGAGGTCAGGGTTCATTTTCAATTTAGTGCTATCAATTGGGGCACCTGATCAGTGTCTGTTGGCAGAACCCAGGCTGGAATGGGGACTTCCACACCCCTTCCAGCATTCTTGGTGAATGCCAGCATCCTGAGGGCTATGGGACTAGGTGGGTGTGGCCTCTCCATGAGGGAATCTTTTCTGTGCCTGTCTGAGTCTTTCAGAACATCCTCTCTTAGCCTATCCTTCTCTGAGCCCAGGCAGGAACAGTTTACTCTGGGTCTGGGAGGGCCTGGTAGAAGTAGAAGGGTTCCAAATCAGGGCCGAGGCTGAGCTGAATGGAGGCTCAGGGCAAAGAACAGGACAATGGTGTGAAAGCAAGGGCCCCTTCTGGGCGGGCACAGGGGCCTGGCAGCCATCAGTGGGGTGAGGTGGGGGCACTTGGGGCTGAGGATCAGCCAAGGGTTACTGAGGGAAGCCTGAGGCACCATAGGTGGCCAGCAGGAGCTACAGGAGGGGCTGATCCCTGGGTACCAGGGACACCAGTGTTCCTCCTGCCAGGTGGCTTTGTCGGAAAGGTGGAGCCTGACTCATCTTCCCCTCACATGACTCTGGTCAGGTCTGGGAGAGGACCAGGGGGGAGGGGGCACTGCAGGTTGTCCATCCCTGGATCCCACCTGATACCTGCTTGGGTCTCCTGCTGCGGTGGCATTCTGTGGGATTGGTTCTCCTTTGTGACCTGCTTCAGTTGTGCCTGGTCATATTCAATGGTTGCCTGACCATAGTGTGCTCTGCGCCAGGCAGCTCTGGGGAGTGAGGGACTCGGTTCTGCCTCCAGTGGTCTGGGCACACCCCCCCCCCTGCTTTGGGGAGGACTGAGCAGTCTCTGGGCAATGGGCCCAGGAAGTCAGGGCTGCTCTCCTGGGTGTCAGTGACCTGCTCGGGCAGGTCTGACCACATTCCTGCAGCTGAGAGCTGGCAGTTGGCTTCCTGGGCCCTGAAGGGGTGCCTCCCACTTAGCTGACTTACATCTTGCATCCGGAAGGTGGGGCATCCCAAGTATTTCCTGGGGCCTGAGTTTTCAGAGGTCTGGCTGGGGCCACAATTATCTACTTGGATGGAAGTTCTGGGATCCCATGTGGATCACAGGGCAGATGAAACTCTTTTCCTGTCAAGTCCCTTCCCAGCCTGGCTCCCTGGGAACTCCCCAAACCAGTATGCCTGTAAGGTGTTCTTGAGAAGGTGGCAGGCTGCTTGCTTCCCAGGCCCTGTACAGGTGGGACTCCCTGTTTCCTGGGTGCTTCCAGCCTTGCTGAACTGTTCAGAGGACAGGAAAGGGCCCAGACTGGCTGGATCTGACACCTGCCTTCTCCTTACAGCCATTCGGGTGACCTGCACAGGATCCTGTGGTGTCTCCAACAAGGCCAACGATGTGGCATGGGTGGTGGAGGAGAGCTACTTCAACAGCACCTTGTCTCTGGCTGACAAGGGTGAGTCTGGAAGCCAACCCCCACCCCAAATAGTGACCCCCAGAGCAGCCCTTGCCCTTAGCGGGCCCTGTCTGTTCCCCCTCTCCACAACTGCCTCTTGGCTTCTTATGCTATGGCCCTGGTGGAGTTCTCTTCCCTGCAGCCACTGCCTCATGGGACTGGGTGGCCGAAAGGGACCATTCGTTTGTCCTGCTGGATCTGTATGTCCTCTGACCCAAGTGGAACCTGTCCCCCTTCCCAAACTGCTTTCCCCTCCAAGGGCTTGTTGGTGGCTCTTGGCCAGGCTATGGCTGTGCTGCTGTGGTGCTGGAGAGAGACAGGGAGACCAACAGCCATGTGCAGCATGGGCTGCTTGCTGTGCCCACTGCTGTCCTGGAGCTGTGGCTGGCCCATGCCTCCCAAGGCCTGTCCCACCTCACTCCTGTCTCTGCAGGGAGTCTACCCACAGGAGAGCACAGCTTTCCCTTCCAGTTCCTGCTCCCAGGTGAGAGCTGGCCTGGATGGGTGGTGGGGACAGTGGCTCTGGGACAGTGGGTTCGGCAGGCAGAGGTGCCAGGTGCCAGTCTCTGCTCTCTGCTCAGCCACAGCACCCACATCCTTTGAGGGTCCGTTTGGGAGGATTGTGCACCAGGTGAGGGCCACGATTGACACGCCGAGATTTTCCAAGGATCACAAATGCAGCCTGGTATTCTACATCTTGAGCCCACTGAACCTGAACAGCATCCCAGACATCGAGGTGAGAATGGAGCAGTGGTCACCATGGTGGCCCCTACCCTTCAGGGGTATGGAGAGAGCCAGGGCATCCAGGGTAAGGTCTGGAAGCAGCAAGCAGCAGCCTCTGACGGAAGCAACTGCTGGCACCTGGGGCAGGGCTGAGTGGGCCCATCTAGTGCCATAGGCATTCAGCTTGTGCTCACCTGCCGACCCCTCCCTGGCCCTCTCCCCCAAGCAACCCAACGTGGCCTCCACCACTAAGAAGTTCTCCTACAAGCTGGTGAAGACGGGCAGCGTGGTCCTCACAGCTAGCACTGATCTCCGTGGCTATGTGGTGGGGCAGGTACTGCGGCTACAGGCTGACATCGAGAACCAGTCTGGCAAGGACACAAGCCCCGTGGTGGCCAGTCTGCTGCAGGTCAGAGCCTCCTCTGCTGCTTAGGCCACCGTTACATAGGTGGGGGTTGCCAGCCCACCCTGGCTCACAGGCTGATTTTCCCTCAGAAAGTCTCTTACAAGGCCAAGCGCTGGATCTATGATGTGCGGACCATCGCAGAAGTGGAGGGCGCTGCTGTCAAGGCCTGGCGGCATGCTCAGTGGCAAGAGCAGATTCTAGTACCTGCCTTGCCCCAGTCAGCCCTGCCAGGCTGCAGCCTCATCCACATCGACTACTACCTGCAGGTTTGGTGCTGCCGTGGGCTGGGAGGTGAGGCCGGGTGGCCTTGGCACTGGCTCTTACCACCCCACCCTCCCCAGGTCTCCATGAAGGTTCCTGAAGCCACTGTGACCCTCCCAGTCTTTGTTGGCAATATTCCTGTGAACAGAGTCCCACTAAGCCCACAGCCAGACCCAGGGCCTCTTCCAGGAACCTCATCACCAGTGGTACCCTCTGCACCGCCCCAGGAGGAGGCTGAGGCTGTGGCTGGTGGTCCGCACTTCTCTGACCTGGTCTCCCTCTGCACCAAGAGCCACTCACAGCAGCAGCCGCTACCTGCTGGCTTGGGTTCTGCGCCTGGTGCCCTGGAGCCCTGTGCTCAGGATGGTAGCCCTGCCCCCAACTCTCTGCACCCTCCCTTGTGCGTCTCTATAGGTGCTACTATCCCCTACTTTGCAGAGGGTTCAGGGGGCCCTCTGCCCACCACCAGCGCCTTGATCCTTCCCCCGGAGTATAGCTCGTGGGGCTACCCTTATGGTGAGTGCAAAGGCCAGTGACTGGGGTGGCAGGGTGGCGGGGTGGGTACGCCACAACACCCTTACAGATCCTACTTTGTCCCTCCAGAGGCTCCGCCGTCCTATGAGCAGAGCTGCGGCAGTGCCGATCCTGGCCTGACCCCCAGGAGCTGACCCTCCAGAGCTGACCCATGCTGCCTTCTCCAGCGGGCCAGGCCTTTGCCCTGGGATAGGATACCCAGGGCCTCGTGCCTTTGCTCTCTGCCTGGCCCAGCCACTCAGGACCCGCACCTGCCCAGAACCAGCTTCTCCTGGCTCCCCAGAGTCAGCCCTCCTTTTTCCTGGGGGGCTGGGGCAGGGCGGAAAGGGCTTGGAACTTGGAGGGACTGTAAATAAAGCGCTTTATTTCTGAAGCTGGGCAGAGGCCCACATGGGCATAACCCACCCTCAGACGCCCTCCACCCTCCTGTGTGGACCTCCGGCCCGTTTCCTGGTCCCGCCCAGCCCCTCCCGTCCTTTCCCCTCCCACTCTCCAGCCTTGCCTCTCTGGTACTGACAGTCCTGGAGATGCACTCTGTCCAGTTTGAGGTGCACTCCGGCTTTCTGGCTGCCACTCATCATTCCACACCCCAGGAAACTGTGGGGAAAGGGCTTGCCAGACCTCCGTCACCGGTAGAATTCTACCCTTGGGCCTCAGGGAGCTACCCTGCTGGTGTAGCTTGTTTGTCAAAGATTGTGGGCACCACGTGCAGTTTGGTGGGGGCATCCTGGGCTTTCCTGCATCTTGTAGGTGGGAGGGATGCGAATGCCCTGGAGGCAGCTAAGGTTGACTGGGTCCAATCCCAGCCAGGATCCAGTGCAGGGTGATGGTTCTTGGTGTGTTCACTCTAGTACCTTGGCTGTGTAACAGGCACATCAGCTCTTGGGGATGGTCTAGTGCTCTCCTTCACCAGATCTTCACAAGTAGAGGACAGTGGACACAAGTCTGCCACACAGCTGTCATTCCCAGGTTGTGGCTTCCATCTTCTGGTTGGCAATGTAGTCTTTCACTAGGCAGATACGTGCAACACACGGAACAAGTAAAAGATGAGTACTGGAGAACAGCAGAAAATAGGCTGCAGGTGGTACAGCCCACCTCCTAGAAGTTGGGCTCTCACCTCTGGCCAGCTGTATAAGCTTGCTGGTGGTCAGCTCCCTTGCTTTAGTTTACTTATCAAGTGTGGATAGGGGGCTGGGGATGTAGCTCAGCCACACAGTGCCTCCCTGGTAAGTGCGAGGGCCTGAGTTCGATCCCTGGTATAAAAAGTAAAAAATAAATAAATAAAATTAAAATGTGGATGTGCACAGGGACTGCCTCTCAGGATGTGAAATACATAGCGTATGCAGCTGCCGGGTAGGTGATCAGTGACTATTGGAGGCTAGGCAAGTCTGGCTGATGGGAAATGGGAATGGAAGGCCTTACCATAGGCTACTTCTGCTGTGCTCATTCACAGTCATATTTCCTTGGTAAAGGGTTTTCCCCACATTTTAACTCCACACACTCATTTAACAAATATTTATTTTGTTTCTTGTATGCAACGTATTGTTCCAGGCACTAGGCACACAAAACTGGAAAGAAGTATGTCGAGTATGTGCCAAGTAAGGGTGTAGGAGAGTCCGGGTTAGAGCCAAGTAAAGCAAGTGTGAGGTGCCTGTCTTAGTTACTTTTCTCATTGCTGGGACAAAAATACCTGACACCCACAAGTTAAAGGAGGAAGGGTTTATTTTAGCTTGCAGTCTGGAGAGGTTTCTGTCCATGGTCAGTTGGTATGAAGGCAGAGTGGCATCACAGAGGAGAAATAGTTCATGACATGGCAGGCAGGAAGCAGTGAGGCTTGCTCTTTATTCCATCCAGTCTACAAGCCTATTCGTGGCACCCATACCCAGGGTGGGTATTCCCATTATCCACACTGTGCTAAGCCAATAGTGGACTAATCCGATTATCACACTTTAGATCCAGCCACCTCTGAAAAGCCCTGCCTATGAGCACATGAGGAAAGTTATAGCAGTGTTTTTTTTTGTTTTGTTTTTTGTTTTGTTTTTGTACGGGGGGGGGGGATTGAACTCCTGTCCTTGCACTTGCAAGGAAGGCGGCAGAACCAGTGAGCTAAATCCCCGGCTCCAGCCCCAACGGTGTGTTATTTTTAACAAAGAGGGAGAGGGAAAGCTTTTCTGAAATGTCTTAAGAGGCAATGATGGAAAAAAGATAACAAGGATGGTAAGGAAGCCAGCTATGCAGACACCTGAGATAAAGGATTCTGGGAAGGGACAGGCGAAGCGGGGATGACCCGGTGTGGTGGCACACACCCATAATGCCAGCACTCCAGAGGCTGAGGCAAGAGGCTCCCTGTGAGTTCGAGGTCAGTCTGGGCTACATAGTTTAAGGCGAGCCTGAACTGCATAGCAAGACTTTGTTTCAAAGAAAGAATTAAAAAGAAAACAGCAAGAGATGGAAAGGCGAGTGGGGATGGACTTCCGTGCCTGTCATCAGTTGCCCTTAGGAAACTTGGCAGGGCTGTGTGTTTTCTTCTTGATCTGTGTGCACCAGCAATGCCAGAGTTAGTGGAGTCATTTTTCCAGTTTGTCTCCCCTCGAGACTGAGCCCAGACTGGCTGTAAAGATTCAAGGCTTCCTTCTTGTCAATGAGAACTTCAATTTCACTTTGTGCTTTTCCTCAAGTCCCAATGTCAGGAGAGACAGATCTGTTAGAGAGCAGATAGCCTGAGACAGTGTATGTGGTGCTAGATAAGCTGTCCAGTGAAGGATGTTTGGGCTGCAGTAAGGGCCTTGACCTGTGTATAGCAAGCCTGTGCCTGGCAGGAAGCTTGGAGAAACCAAGGAGAGCTCATCTCCGACCTGAAGTACTCCCCAGTCAATACCCCTCCCCCTATCTGGAGACTCCCCCAACAGGGCAACTTTTCTCTCTGGGACCCTGCCTCTGCCAGAGCACCCATTCCTAACCAGAGTCCCCCTGCCCCATCTGTGGTACTCCTCCGTGCTGGAACATCCTGTTGGCTGGATCACCTCCCAGCAGGAGTATCCACTCCACCTTCACCCTCTCACTTGTGTAGGAGTAACTTCCCTGACTAGAACACTCCTTCTGTTGGGACATGCTTCTAACTGGGATCGCTTCTCCCAGCTGGGGCATTCCTCCTAACCAGGGAACCCATCACTCTAACCTGGGACTCTCCTCCAACCACAATGTAAGTGAAACCCCCGATCGGGACATCACCATAGGACACGGCTCAGGATATGTGCCTTCTGTGAAAGCCAAAGTCAAAATGAGCATGGGTCAGAGTTTAGGATCTGAAGCCTTGGTCTCCATCCTGGCCAACTGACCAGAATGCCAATTTAGAATTCGAGGTTACTGCAGGCCCCCTCATCTGCAGGGCATATGTCCTAAGCCCCTCAGGGGATGAAACCACACAAGAGTACCAAACCTTATATATACTACATGTTTTGTTATAATAAAGTTTAAATTAGGCACAGGAATAGAGTAACAAAAACTAGTAACACTGCACTGTAATAAAAACATGTGAATGTAGTCTCTCAAGCTCTTACTGTCCTGTACTCCCCCATATGATAAATGATACAACACCTGTGATGGGATGGAGTGAGCAGGCACTGGGACAACACACTAGGTTGCTACTGACCTGTCGGTAAGCCAGGAGGATCTCCGGCTTTGGGTGACCCCAGGCCACACAGCCATAGGGATGTCGCTGGATGGACTCTCTGATATAGACAGCTGGGATTCTCGATAGCATCCCCCCCCCCCGAAAACCTTTTGGGAGACCATTGTAATTGGAAAGTTGTGTCTTTCTCTTTAATTTATCAAAGTATTACTGTAGAGGCTTTGGTCCTTGAGCAGATACTATGAGCATAATGCATTTTGCCCTTCCATTTCTGTGCAGTTGAAAGAATTAGAAAATTTTGGTTATGTCCACAGTTAGGTCTGCTAGTTTCTTTCTCGTTCACTGCAGACAACTGTTTTATAGAGCTTTCTCCTTTAACTTCAACACTGCCAGAAATGTAGCCTCAGCTTCTTCACCGCCAGAGGCAGCCTCTGCAGTTAAGTTTTGTTTCCCAGTTCAAATCTATTTCTGAGTCTGTGCCACCACCACCCTTCCCTCCTTTCAGAAGCTCCCTTGTGGAAATCTTGGTGTAGGCTCAGTACTTTCTCGCCCAAACAGCACTCAACACGTTTTCTATTCTATTAACAAATTTAATGCTTTTTCCATCCTAACCAAGCACATCATGCACTGTGGTCCTAACTTGTAACGTGAGGTATGAGGGCAAAACTAGCAGACTTTTTTTTTTTCTTTTACAATTTCACGGATGCAAGATTTGTTCTTATCAGAGGTTAGCAACCTCAACAGACTTTTTTTCTTTCCTCATTAAGAACTTTCACCTTTTCACTTAAAGCACGTTACAGCTTCTCTTTGGCACAGTTTAGTCGCTTGGCATCACCATTCTGGCGCTTTGGGGCCACCATCAGGCAAGCTAAGTGCCACGGAACCGAACTCCAAGGCACCACCTCAGCGGGTGGTGGCGACCCGGGGCGGGCAGCCACCGCGCTGGAGGGAAGGACGTTCGCGCCGGCCGGACAGGACGGCGAGGCAAAATCCGCTACTCAGAAGGGCGCACAATTAAAAAGCTAGGGACTGCTTCTTTCTAGAATTTTCCATGTAATATTTATGGGCTGCGGGTAATGGGGAGGAAGAATGGGAGAGAAACTCCAGCCACTACAAGTCTACTGCACGGTTTCTTCAGGCACTTCCGAGCCTTACAAGCTCGCAGGGCGGCAGCACCGCGGGAGGACTCCAGCGCGCAGGCACCTTCCGTCCCCACGCTAGTACGCAGGCGCCAAAGCGGTTCGGGCCCTGGTACACAGGCGCAGCGCGAGTGTGCGCGCAGGC